ATAGTTAAGCTCATTTGAAAGTACATTAAAATTCAGATTGAAAAGTTGCTTGCAACAGTTTTCCTACCCATTTCCCATCATGTTGCCAGCATTTTTTGGCATTCAGCTTAATCATCAATTCGTCAGTCAGCTAGTCCTTTCGTAATTCCCAACACTTCTTATCGGAGCCCTGTCTAGTGCTGCATCAGGTTAACGGTAATTGATGTACATGCATAGATCATTGAACGTGTGTGTGTGTGTGTGTGTGTGTGTGTGTGTGTGTGTGTGTGAGTTATTTACATGCTTTGGTCGCATCATGTTAGTCCCTTATTCCCAGCACCAATTAAGCTGCGAAGTTGAGCTGTTTTCCCCGCCCAACCGAATACAACACAACGCTGATAACGTTGCCTCCTAGCTGATAACAAACACACATACGTATACTTATGCATTTATATGTACCAGGGCTGCAAAAGTAAACAGACATCGGTTCACGGTTCGAACTAACAATCCATCTTTAGGTTCGGTTTGTGAACCAGGCTTTCGATATTCATGAACCCAGTTTTGGTTCCAAATTGAAAGAACTGGTTCTTATATGTACATACATGCAGGCATGCACATATACATACATATATTGTATTTAGACCCTTTTATGTTTGTGTAGCCGCGAAACGGTTGTATTATCGAATTACTGCTAGCTAATAATCCGCACATAACTGTTAAGTGGCTGGTGCAGGCAGAGGGGGTCGGTGGGCATGTGCAACCGATTCTGGCAGCAATTGTTGCCTCCAAACAATTGGTTTGTTTTGTTTCTTTTTTTTTTTGACAGCGACACCTGCCACGCCCATCTCCCACGGACTCACAGTGGCACACACATAACCGTTCCCGTTCCCATTCCCATTCCCATTCCCATTCCCATTCCGTTTCTCGTTCCCGTTGCCGTTCTGATGGCAAGTATTAACTGTTTTCGCTTATGATGGCTATTGTTGCGATTGCTTTGCTGTAGCGCTCTCATTTTAGCTTTAATTAATACAAACAAATACAGCAGCATTCGCGTTAAATGCAGTGCATGAGGCGATTTAAAAATAAATAATGCTGACGTCACATTTTGCGTATGAGCGAGCGCGAAACGCTAAGAAGGAGACGGCCCCAGCCACAGAGTCACAGTCAAACTCGCAGCCAAAAGCGAAATGCGAAATGCGAAATGCGACTGATTGGAATTGATTAAAATGCAGCAAACAAATGTTGCCGTTGCCGTTGCTATTGCTACGGCTTGTCTTCGTTGCGACTTACACACATACGTACATACTGCTAATGTCAAAGAAAACAGCAACAATAATAAAGCCAACGACACAATTTGATGTGGCGCATGTTTTGGTTTTTGGGCTCGCGTAACCATAAGCCGCGATGATGTCAATGACGTTGATGACGTTGCCAGATTTTTATTTATGCTTTCTGCTTTTCGACTTTGTTACTTTGTACGCTTTCGTCATTCTGCCTGTCCACCGTCCGAGAGAAAATGTCTCTCCCTCTTCTCTCCTTCGCCCTGTCGCCATGTCTCTCTCTCTCTCTCTCTCTCCCTCTCGCACTGTTTGGCTTTTCGGTGTCAATTACCTTTCTGAACGGTCACCACAAGTATTTTTAAGTTGCGCTTACGCAGTGATGATAAGCACAACACAAAAAATAATATAAGAAAAAAAAAAGGCGAGCTTGTGTAGGTGGGGTGAAGTGATTGTACAGCGGGTGGGTGGTGGAGGCATGAAGCAACAGCAGCAGCAACTGCAGCGACAGGCACAGCCTCGCTTGCTCGGGTTGGCAACCTACGGTGTATAGTGATGATCGCGTGACTATCGCTGCGCGATCACGACAATTAAAGTAAACATTTTGAAGTGAAAAGATCAAAAGCTCAAATTGACTGCCTGAGTCGCTAGTTAATAGTTATTTATTCGCACTGTCATGCTCGACACATGTAACTGCACAGAATTAACAAAGCTGTATGACAAAAAAAAAAAAAAGAGAGAGTAGCGACATTTCACTGCTTTATGACTGTTATTCGCGATGAGCACGTGAAGCTCACGCAAGCCTTAAAGTGATGAATTCTGTTTTCGCATGTGATCATTAAAGCAAATGCTAGTTAACAAGAAATTAAGTTTCGTTTACTACTTGCGAAGCCGTTAAATGTAATATTCAACTTTCAAATGGAATCTGTGTTGTGTCTACAGCTAGCTAAATATCTAATAGATAAATGTAAACAGAAAGAAAAAAAAACAATAGAAACCGAAATTGTTTCTCGTCAAAATGGCTGTTAATTCTGACAAGAGCGCAAACAACTATAATTCGTTATGCCATGCAATTAAATCAGATCAAAGTATCAAAAAGAATAGTATGCTCATACTCATAATACCTACTTTTCTCAGGTACAAATATGTAGCATAGCCAATAGACGACCGAGAGTTGCTCAAACACATTCGCTATTCTGAAATGACATCCAAATGAAATGCGTATCAGACTTGTTGCGGCGGCCCACGCACTTTAAGGTTGCGTGCGTGTCACGCGCTCATCCCGAACATTGCGAGCAATCAGCTTGGAGTGAATCAGCGCACCTCTCTCTTCCACTCGCAGCATCGTTAAATTCGCCAGTATTTTAACTGCAGCGTCACTGTGCTCAATGTTTTATGCTGTCTGCCTGCAGAGCGGGTGCAGTGCAACAAACACACAAAATTTAATACTTAGCAACAACAACGCAATTTTAATCAGCTGCGAACAATAGCAAGTAACAGTGATTTAGTCTGGAGTGTTCCACTTGCAGATACCCTGTACTGCATGTATGTACATACATACATACATACATATGTACATATGTAGGGTGCAGACACAAACATGCTTTGACACATGCATGCGCATGCAGAATAAAACACACATGCACACACACAAGCACGCGCGCCGCATACGCTGCGACAGTGCTTCTTCTTGCCAGTTAGCTTCAATAACCTAATCTGAAAATCGATAGCAGTCGAATTATTGATGATTTGAAATAAAGTTTATGTGCAGGTGCAATTGACACAGCGCCTTCTGCCTGTCAGACACTAGAAACATCATACCCGTTATTACCCATTTTCAATTGGCACAAGGGTATGAAAAAGTCTCCTTGAAGCTCGCTTTAAGAGCGTGGCGACAAGCGAAGGACAACACCAACTAAAACAATCGAATTGCAGTGTATCCATGCATTTTAATTGCCAATCATTGGCATTCGTGTTGGTCATGCATGTATGAATGCATGATTGTAACTATCATACACACAAACATGTGCACAGACATGTATGCATGTTGTATGCATGTTCGCCTTTTTAAATGCAAAACCTATTCAACTTGCAAATTCTTCTAAAATTTAAATCATTTGCACTTGGCTGATGCTGAGAGTTTCTTTGAATTGTCAAAAAAAAAAAAAAAAAGAAAAAAGAAAATCGCAAGCATCAATTCAAATTACCTGTTGAAAGCGAGTTATTGACGTTTTCAGAATCAGATTTTCATGCTATTCATATTTGGCGATATTTTACAAGCCAAAAAACGAGTCATGACTCGTGCTATAGTAATAATTTACGAAATCTTTAATAGCCATTATTCATCGTAACAGTCATTAGTTTCGTTTCGATACCCAGCTTTCTGTCTAATAGCTGTTTCATAGGATTGATTCAGCTAATTGAAAGTGTGCTATTAAATGAATTTACAATTACGTTGAGGACGTCACGTCAAGATCGTTTCTCGTAACCAATTTTCACCTAACACAACTTACTAAGAAGAGTATAGCAGTCGTCGGTAATGGCCGTAATGGTGACTAACAAGGCGAGTCCGTGCTCAAGACTTGGGCAAAGTTTGGATGTTGTACTGTCTAGACCGGGGGCCGCAGTAGCGGCTGCTATTCATAGTTTAGGCTTAAAATGTTCAAATATAACTATAATAATAATAATAATTAAACACCCATACTAATATATTTGCTGTATTTGTCAATTGGGTATTTACTTGTTTTAAATTTTTTGAACAAGCGGCGCCAATTTCGTTCGTGTTGTTGACCAGTTGAACAGTTGACCAGACAACAACAACAAAAACAACAACAGTAACAAGTAAAAGGCCTGCATTGAGTCAGTCAAACGGTTACGCGCTGCCCCTCTCTCTTCTTCTCACCCACTCGTTACTCGCTCCCTCTCTCTCCCTCTCTCTCTCACACACTTTCATTCTGACTCGTGCAGACAGCACGGCGTTGTGTGGGGCTGGGTAAATGAAGCAAGAGTCACAGTGGGATGTGCCAAAGAAATGCGTGCAACGGCGCAATTAGTGATAATAGAATTTTTTGTCCTATTGTAATTCTAGATTTGCACATCTTGTTGTTAGCCAAATGATTTTCGGTTTAGTTTCTTCTTTATTTTGGCAGTGTTAAGCTATGAGCAGCACAGAGCTCCAGAAGAGTTAGTAACAGCATTAAAAATAACAGTCATGTGTTTTGAACAATAACGGCTTAAACAATTTTCTGGCATTTACTTTTACTACATACATAGACATACATAAATTACTAATTTACTTGCAGTTGGTTGCCGCCAACTATTTCCTTAAATACCTAATGAATAATCGTTATTTAAAACTGATTAATCGACCGCCAGAATGGCTTGACATTCCAGCCCTGGTGCCAGCAGTGTCGCACGACCGAACAGCTGTTGGCCGTGCTGCCAGCTCTAGGCAAACTCGCCGCGCGCCTTTTTTTATACAATTATTGGATTGTCTTATTTATTCAAAATGTATTCAATTAACACACAAATTAATCATTATTTGTGATTTATTTCTTTGTATTTGGTTTTGGCTTGTGTTAATAATGTTAATAGGGCAATTATCAGTGCCCAATTTGTATGGAAACTATCTGGCAACACTCGACTGTGAAACGGGTTGTCGTCGCTGCGTGCGCATGCATATGTGTGTTTCATAGTGCGTGTTCTCTATGTGTTTGTGTGCATATGTGTTTGTGTGTGCTGTAAGTGAGCTTGTGTATGTTTGCGCCAGTACTGAGGCAGTGAAGCAGCGCGAGCGAGCGAGCGAGCAATACAAAATAAAATTTTGCGCAAAAAGGGCCAAGAACCTGATCAATAAATTGTAGTTAAAGTTGAATGTGACCCAAAACGCGTGTGCTAAACCAAAAATAAACAAATTGTGTCCTTATACTCTGCCATTGGCCAAGGCAGCTAACAAACAAATCGCTCAGCGCTGCTCTGAAAAAAGAACGTAAGCAACGATAACAGCAGAAAATTTTGGTGTGCTGTGCGCGCGTGCTGCCAACTGTGTAAAAAGTGTTTTGCCTTTTATACCGCCTGCCTGCCGCTGTCACCACCTCTACCGCCAATCGCCAACCAATCGAGTCCAATAACAAATCATTTGGCTCTGCAGAGAATTAGGACCAAATTCGCGGCCACTAGCGATGCCCCAGCAGCAATCAGCTACGTAGTAGCGTGAAGCAAACGGAGCTAGCTCTCTGCTCTGCTCTTGTGTGTGGCGTGCGTACAGTTGAATTTTTCAACAAGTTGCCAGCACAGCGCGCAACGCGACACAAACACACGTACACAGACTCATATACACGTTAATATATGCACACAAACACAAGCAAGCGCGCGCAGAGAGAAGGGAAACCGAAACGGCAAAAACAACAACAAGAGGAGCAGCAACGTTTTAGTGATGTCATCAGAAAGTAAGTTTGCTTTTTTTTTTTTTTTTTTTTTTTTGTTTTGTTTGCCTATAGCACAACGTCGTCATGACGTCATTTCATAAAAATACACACAACAGTTGAGACAGTATGCTCGTTGCTGTTGTTGTTGCTTTGTCGTTGTCATCGTCGTCGTCGTCGTCATTTTTGTAGCAAGCAAACAAAACAAACCAAACAACAGTTGCAGCAGCAGCAGCAGTGACAGTGACAGTCAGCGAGTGTGTGTATGTGTATGTGTGTGCGCGCGTTTGTTTTTGTTTTAGTTGTTGTTGTTGATGATGATAATGATGATGATGTTTGTGAGTTGTGTTGTTGGAACGAACAATTAACAATTAGCAATTACCAATCAAGCAATATTGTAACCAAAAACCAATGAAACCAATTTTGTGCACATCTCTCTTTCTCTCTCTCTCTCTCTCTCCCTATATTTCATTTTCTGTGCCTGTCTCTCTATTCTCACTGTGTGTGTGTGTGCGGCGCGCGCGGTCCATCTCCTGCATTGCTTTGCCAACCGACCGCTCCGGCCGCTCGTCCGCCCGCCTGTCCCGCTCGCATGTGCGTCGCACGACTGTGGTGCAGCAACAGCAGCAGCAGCAGCAGCAGTAGTCATCGTCCAGCATCATTTAACTTCAAACTGGCAAAACTAAAACGGAAAAGACGCCAAACTGAAGCACTTATCGGAGAGCGTAACGGTGCTGCTGAAAATCGCTAAAATGGACAGCATCGTCGAGGAGAACGGCAACTCGGCCTCCAGCGGTAATGTCAACGATATTGACATCGCAGCAGCCGCCGCCGTCGCCTCTGCCGCGGCGGCAGCAGCAGTCGCAGCATCGGTGGCAGCAACAGGCGGCCAACAGCAGCAGCAGCAGCAGCAGCAGCAGCAGCAATTACAACAGAACCAGCAAAGTACAACGAGCGGCGTCCCGGCGACAGTTAACACGAACAATGCCAGCGGCACGGCCTCCGTGTTGACCACAGCCGCCAATTGTAATATACAATACCCTATCCTAACACAGCACGGCCTACAGGTAAGCTCCGAGTCGACCTTTTACGCACTTTCACAAGATCAATTGACAGGACATGCAACAGGATCCACCAGTCCGATTTGACCCAAGCTTCTAACCAATGCAATGCCAATAACTTGATGGGATCCGTTCTCAGTAAAAAGTTTTGTTTAGCAACAGCTATGATTATGTTCACTTTGCTTTCACTAGGATTCAACAAAATGTACATCCTTGAAGGGTTCCGAGATGTCTGCTTCCTTGGATAACATCCATCGAAAGGAGTTTCGCATGCATAGCTCATAGACACACAGGCAAATGACCTAGGATTCAACAAAATGTACATCCTTGAAGGGTTCCGAGATGTCTGCTTCCTTGGATAACATCCATCGAAAGGAGTTTCGTATGCATAGCTCATAGACACACAGCCAAATGACCTGGCCTGGCGAGAGTATTTCGTGTTTCGATTTGCTTTTGTGTTGCATTCGTAAACGTTTTTCTGTTTCATATTTAATACGCTAGTTCATTTGAACTTTGCTCGAAATTAACCAGCTGGTATTATCGATACAAATAATTTATTTATGCACGAAATTGGCGCAATTAGACTGGGAGTTCTGTTTGTTTGAGAGGCTCTATAAAATTCCGACTGCCTTCCATTTGAAGAAATGCAAAATTTACGCCGATAATTTTCTCTCTAATGAAAATTGGTTGTCGTTACCTCAAGGTTAAAGCTGGTTAGTTTTGTAATTTAAATATTAACCAACAATGAAACAATGAACAGCAAAAACTTATCAGGTTGTCTGTTTAGTTATTTCAAGAACCTGCCGGCTTTAGCATCAGCAGACTTAGCTATCGACGCTTGGAAAACGCCTTGCGTCGTTTGAACTTGTTGAGAATTGTAAGGGCGTCCATTTGCTGCGTACTTTTGATAGGAAGACTTTGATTTGTAATGAGTTAAACGTTTTTTTTATTTTACTTTCACAGGTACAATCCGTGATACAGGCGGCCAATCACTCGGGTGTCATACAAACCGCTGTCGGAACACAGCAGCAACAGCAGCAGGCGCTGGCCGCCGCATCGGCGATGCACAAGGGCGGCAGCGGCGTCGTCTATATGACCAAGCCGGCAAATACGACGGTCATCCATACGACCACGAGCAATGCAGTGCAAGTGCGTAACAAAGTGCGTAGCAGTCGCTCACAAACACATATATATGTATAAATGTATATACACAATCAGACTCTCACACACACACTAACACACATACATGCATAAATACATTATATATATATGAGACTATTCGTGATGCTAACCGATTTAACATTTTGCAGATCCCTCCAAATTTTCAATGTAAGATCAAACCCGAACCGAATACCCAGCATCCGGAGGATAGCGATGAGAGTTTATCAGACGATGATTCACAGCATCATCGCAGTAATCTGACACGAAGGCCATCGTACAATAAGATTTTCACCGAAATCAGTGGACCCGACATAAGCGGTAATTTGTTTGTTAACAACAATCTAGAACGCCATAACTGCCAAGCCTTCCTATCTCAGACTTTGTATCTACATATATCTATCTATCTCTGTTCTGTACTCCTGCTCTATATCTCTTCTCTCGCTATATCCATGTCCTGTACATCCTGTCAAGCATAGTTGAGTTCGATTTGGACTCTGTTGCAGTTTGTTTTCAATATTTTCTTGATAGCGCTACAGATGCACACACACACACACAGCAGCACACATAGACAAACGCACAAATTTTAAGAAATATTTATGTAAAATAACATACTTGAAATGTCAGAAAACCAGCTTATCGTTAACATAGTGTTAGCGTAATGTTAACTTTATACCCTATACCCATTTGAAGTGCTTAACAAGCGGCATGATAAACCTATGCAAATGTATGCAACAGGCAGCAGCATAAATATTCGACTTCTTAACTTGTATAAACTCCTAATCACAACGAGCCGTGCGCAATGCATAAGATATTCGGTTTGGAATCGTTGTACTCTTATGCATTTAGCCTCTGATTCTTAAATATCGATTACCAGCTGAGCAAGTAGATCACAGAGATAGTTTATTTAACACCTAGACCTGTTGAACAAACATTGTATTTCTTGATTGAAGCACTTGAGTTTTGCACCTGTATTCTTATACACATCACCCATAAAAAATTGCTAAAAAAGTATGCATGTATGCATGTCTATATAGTCTTGATCCGGACGAGAAGCGGATTGGGTTAGCGATCTAATTTACTTACTTTTAATAGGTCGTTCGCTTTTCATGATATCGATAAAGATCGAATTTGAGACATGGTTTTTAAGGGACAACTCGATAGTTATAAGACCTAAGGCAATATTTTACCTTATGGATACCTCAAACTGTTCCCCCCAAGATTGAAAATATATCATTTTTAACGGCAGACCCCTGCGCCTTGGTAGATATATACCCCAACAATTTCGATCAAGATAGAACTATAAACACCGAAGTTAATAAAGAATGCATTTCATATGCAAACATAGTGAGGAGAAAAGGCACAGAAGACAGTTGGTCAGGGTATCTTCTAGTCGGACACTCCCGACATGTTTAAGTGTTGCTTTGTGGTAAAAGTTTAACGACCATGTCATATTGCTCCTTCCTTATGTAGGTGCCCCCCCCCCCCCCCCCCCCCCCCCCCCCCCCCCCCCCCCCCCCCCCCCCCACGCATCTGCAAATAAATATGCATACATCCATTTTTCATCAAAACTTTAAGCTTATAAATTTCCTGTTGTGTTAGTTGTTGCTTCTGTTGTTCTTTGTGTTTATGTATAAACATCATCAACATTCACACACACATGCGTGCACACACATATATACCCACATACCCCCACACACACACACACACACAGATAGACAGACAGACTTTGAGCGTGGCTAAGGAGTTGCTTAAACTCTGTTTTCCTAGATAATCTATCTCTATATCTACTCTGTCTCTTCCCCTTTCTCTCTCTCGCTCTCTGTCTTTCTCATGTACATTTCTCATGAGTGTTGTGGTTGTTGTTGTTGTTGTTGCTTCATACATATGAGAAATCTAAATTCAATAAGTTTTTTAATAATTAAATGCAAAAATGCCATATGCAATTGTTGCTAAAGTTGATAAGGATGATAACGCGCATCCTTCGTAGGTTTTTCTCTTCTTTTTTCCTTTCTCTTTGTCTGGTTGTACTTATTAATACTGTAACTGTAACTTCACACACCTACACAAATGCATTGTGCATATTTATTCGTTTGTTTTTTATCGCGCGTCTCTTATAATTTTTGTTGTTGTTGTTGCTGCTGCTGCTGTTGCTGTTGCTATTATTATTGATGTTGTTGTTGTTGCCGCTGCACATCGTTTAGGTAAAAATACAAACGCACAACAAACACCCCCTGCTGCCCACTCCAACCAACCACCCAACCACCCAGCCACCCATCGCTCATATACATACCAACATACATATGTACTTATATAACAAACGTCGCCCGTTGCCGTCGCCGTTGCTGTTGTTCAAACTAACCAAATATCGCCTCTCTATCTCTCTCTCGCTCGTTCGATCGTTCGCTCGCTCACTCGCACTCACACCGACACTCACTCAAATGTACAAACAGACAAAAGTCCGAAAAACAAAACAGAAATGTGATCTCTTATAATTTTTATTGTGTTTTTTTTTTTTCGTTTTCTTTTTGACTGGCCGCGAAAAATTCAAAAATCCAATAAAATCACGCAACGAAAATCAAATGACAACAACAACAACAACAACAACAACAACCCCAACCCCCCTACAACCATAATCCCAAATATATAATTGAAAACCGAAAACCCGAAACTCGATCAAATCTCCTGGCGATGGCAGCGGGTGGAGCACTGCAAATGCCCGACGGCAACGTACTCAGCTCACAGCTGGGTAGCGGGGCGGGGGGTGGCGGCGGCGGCAACAACACATCAAGCAGTCCCTTGCTGCACATGGCGCCGGACTCGGCCTTCTATTTATCCAATCGGATAGCATACAATGCCAGTAAATGCAACAAACAGGCCACAAATCCAAGCAAAAACCATACTAATTCTTCCTCTCTCTCTCTCTCTCTCTCTCTCTCGTTCTCTCGTTCTCTTATACATATGTAGATAACAGCGGCATTGCGGAGGATCAGACACGCAAGCGAGAGATTCGACTGCAAAAGAATCGGGAAGCGGCGCGCGAATGCCGGCGCAAGAAGAAGGAGTACATTAAGTGCCTGGAGAATCGTGTGGCGGTGCTAGAGAACCAAAACAAAGCGCTCATCGAGGAGCTCAAGTCGCTGAAAGAGCTTTACTGTCAGACCAAGAACGATTGAACGTGGCCCCGTTGCTGGAATGGGCAGCACCGGCGGTTGGTTCTGGCAGCAGCAGCAGCAGCGGCGCCGGCAGCGGCAGCAGTAGCTTTAAGTCTACACTGGCTTGGCAATGACAATGACGCGAACGACAATGCTGCTGGATGCAGGACGGGGGCAAGGACGAGGGCAAGAACGCGGACGAGGACGAGGACAGGGACGGGGACACGGACACGCACTGAGACAATGACTTTGACGGTGACGACTGCAACCAGCCGCATATCATGGTTTACATACATAACAAAAACACAAACGCTATATGTAGTATAATTTATATACAATGATCATGTTGTTGTTGTTGTTGTTGTTGCCATAACACACACACACACACACACACACACACACACGCCACACAGACAGACACACAGACACATACACAGCGAGTACTGTTGGCGAAATGTTGTGCACAACATTTGCGACACAACAGGAAACAGCAGCAAACACGACTCTCAACACACACACAGGCACACGCACACACTGACGACACACACACAGACAGACAGACCAACACACAATGTAATTATGTTTATAATTTAAATGTGTAATATTATTTTAAAGCTTATGTTTATGCTTTAGTTGTATTTGCTAATTAAATTATGCTACACAGTAATTTTTACTGTTTATTAATTATTATTTGTATTTTACATTTTTCTCTTATACCATTTTTTTTTGTGTGTTTTTTTTTTTCTATTATATACTACTTTGTTATATATTAAGGAGAAAATTGAATTGAATTTAGTGCATTGTGCGAAAAACAGTAAACAGAAAGTTATACTATATGAAAATGTGTTTAGCTAAATTTTAAAAGAGCATCTAGCAAAATTCTCTCAACAGCCAGCAACTTGTAACAGAAAAACAAAAACATAATTAAAATTAAGTTTTAAAGTTTGTAATTTGTAGAAAGAGTAGCATATATATGTGTATATATATATATATATATATATATATATATATATATGCATGTGTATCGATGATGAAATGAGCTTTTTTTATGTTTTGTTGCATAATTTTAGATATGGCCGTTTCTTTGAAATAAACAAAAAACAACAACAATCTGTCTAAATCAAGCCCGAACCCCCGCGCCCCCTTCATCCTTAGCATAGGCTACACAATTCTTTTCCTCTGTGCGCACGCGATATATATCTATATATATATGTATATATATATATATAGATATGTAAGATGTAGTTAGCGAATAATTGTACACTATTTGTATTTTCACTTTACGTTAAGAGCTAAGCGACAAAAAATTAAACAAAAAATTAAATACTGCAAAAACAATTATTCTATAAGTTTTTTGAGGCGCTTCGCATGGGCCAAGGCAGCAAAACAAACAACAAAGAAAAGAAAAAAAACAACACAAAATTATGAAACAAACACAAAAAAGATAAATCAACGAAAGCTTCAACATATTTTGTAAATGTAAAAAGAAGTGCAACAGAAGCGACTATGAAAATGTAAACAAAACAAAAAAACAAAAAAACAAAAAAAAAAAACATACATATAAAGCAAAAACTCTCGTTATCTCTTGTGATCAACTCAGTTGTTGTTATGAATGAAAAATGATTAAGAAACAAAATATGCGCAGGCAGAGAATAAAATATGCAAAATATATGAATGCATGCAACTTTTTTTTATATATATATATATGAATAAAAAAGAACTATGTCGAGATGCATAAGGAACGGAAACGGAAACAATGTCAAACACAGTAAAAAACAACAATTTATATACATATAAAATATACATAAACACTTTAAATTGCATAGATATATATATATGTATAAACAATATATATATATATATATATATATATATATATATACACACAAACAGACACACACACACACAGATATATATGTATATATCTATCTATTTTTGATGTCAAATCAAATGTGCAACAACTTTTCTGAATATAAAATGGGGGGAAAAAAAGCAGCGCAACTTTTTAGCAGTTCATGAACGTGTTGATTGTAATTAACAACCAGGCGAAAATTGCATAACAAATATTTTTATTGTCATTGCATAATTTTTAAGGTAGTAATTTTAATATTTAAAACATAAGCGACAAAACAAATAAAACTGACAACCGAAAACAAATGCAAATAAGTAAAAACAAAACAAAAATCAACAAAGTAGTAGTTACAATATTGTTATAAATATTTGTCTCAATGAGAAAAACCACAAACAAACAAACAAAAAAAAAAAAAAACAACAAAAAACAAACAAAAAAAAATCGACATAAAAAACCAATAAAAAAATAAAATTTTATTTGGACTTTTGTTCCTTTGACATTACTGAACTTCGTGAATTGTGCTTAAGAACAAAAAAAATTAACTGACATTACCCGGCTTTGCCCGGCTTAATCGCCACATCGATATATTTGCCCCTAAATTGTTCATACAAACTGAGCCCAAGGCTCAACGAACAAGATTTAATCGAAGCTGATCTTGCCGTTCACGAGCGGAAACCACTTTAGAAAATGGAACAATCCGTGTTCCTAATCTTCAAATAGCTGCGATAATGTTGCATAGTCAAAAGTATTTTATACTGAATGCTCTTTGTGATAATATCACATTTCATAAAGATTCTCTTATGACTGGAACAGATCCATATATATATTTTTTTAGTTTTCTGATGATGAGTGCTTAAAAAAACAAATTAAAATAGCAGCACAGAAAGCAGTCGCGATTACCATGCTGTTAGAATGCGAAGCAGACGCGCATGATTGTGTGTGTGTGTGTTCATGGATACAGAAATTCTTGAAGGATTTGAAGTTAGTAACTTTTTCTTTGTTAAATCAATTGAAATAAATTCACAAATTCCATCCGGGCAGCAAGAGACCTTGTGTGTAGCTGTGTAGTCGGGAGACGACAGCTGGAACGCTCCAGAGTCCTCCAAAAGCCAACGTGACGATTCAGCCTGAGAACCCAACGGGCTTGGTGCAACATCATCTTAGCTAACTATGCTGTCATAAAAATGTATGTTATGGATTGAACATTATAAAAAAAAAAATAAACGAATTACATTCAATTTAATATATATGCTATATTCTATATATATACATATATATTCTTTCAGGTGTGTCACAATATTTTCTATCAAAGCAACGTTTAAAAAATTGACAATGATTCATTCATTCAATATTATCAAAATGAACGTTTAAAGGAAAACGTAGATTTCATAGATATAGAGACTCTAGCAGCTCCTGAAGTTTTCCTTACCCAGTTTCCACAGGAGTACGGAGATGTGAGTCGAGTCATTTCCGACAGATGCTTGGATCCAAGTGAAAGCTCGTCGCCTTAATATATAAAAACGTTTAGTTTACATTTATTAAGTACAGATGCACAGACATACAAATGTTACATATATATATATGTGTGTGTATAAATAATAGCCAATCGGTCACAACTACGTGGTAAAAATACAAATACAGTTTACAAAGAGATTCACAGTTGTTAAATCAGTTCCGTTTTTCCTATTGCCAGATCCACAAAAAGCCACACAGAAAACATGTGCGGCTGGAGCGAATGCATTTATAAATATAAATATGCATATATGTATATCATGTCATATATGTTATTAGTGTAATCACATGGAGCAGCTGCCAGTGCAGACAGTGGTCAGCGTCGGGAGCGAGGAGCAAATGGTGCAGTCTCTCTCAGGCAGTCTTTAGATGGACTGGGTCCAGTTTACGATATGAACAGATACAGCACAAACATGCCGATGCCCACGTAGTGGCTGAGATAGCCCGCCGATGCCCAGTGGTAGAGGAAGGGCAGCTCGTTATCCGCTTCCATGACGAGTGTCTCGTTCAGCAGCACAACGCCCAGATAGGCCAGATGGAATATGGCAAGCAGTGTAAAGGCCAAATTGGTAAGCCCAACCAGCCAGGAGCTCACACAGAGCCAGCCACGTTGCTGCGGGCAGTGGGCATAGCGACAGCGTTCAGCGCCGGGACAGGGATTGGCAGCGACGCAGGCATTACAAAGCCTGGCCAGATGACGACGCAACATTGTCTCGCCCTCGGCAAAGGTGGCCAGCGAGAGTAGCACCAGATAGATGCGGAAGTCCATGCCGTGCAGCAGAGACGACACCACATATGTGCAGAAGACGGCCACTATGGTGTTTTGGCGGGAGCGCTGCTCCAGCTTGGATGTCGAGTAGACGTAGCGCTTGAGCCACTCGTGCATGGGCACATTCCAGCAGCGCACCAGGGCACTCAGGGAGCGCGGCCATTCAATGTGCCACGGACGCACGACCAGCTCACCGAGCAGCTGCTTGGAGCTGCTGTGCGGCGTCGTTGTTGTGTCCAGCTGCTGACCGGCTGCCGCCAGCTGCGCTTGGCTGAGAAAGCTCACAAAATAGTGGCTGGTCCGCACGCTCATCGCGCCCGTGTACATGAGCAGCCAGTGTGAGAGGTCGCTGTGGCGCGTCGTGTACTCCACCTCCGGCACATGCAACTCGCCCAGGGCGGGCGCAATGCAATTGGAGATGACCAGCGCCACCAGGCTGAGCAGCACGTTGACCATCATATGAAACAGATTGCGCCGCAACGGCGGCTTCTTGTGCAGCGAGTCCAAGTAGCGGGCGTAGCTTAGCCAGGGCCCCAACGCGCAGCTGGCCGGATTTAAAATGTAGCCCAGGTAGGCGGGAATGCTCGGCATGCGTAGTCCTGGCGCGCCACTCGCCGTCAAGTCGAAGGCCAGCGATATAACCTTCATGTTGGTCACCATCTGCAGTCCGCGCAGCTGCGGCCAGTCGTCGCGCTTCTGCCAAATGGCCAGCTCGTAGAGGAATTGACTGCCAATGCTGAGCGCAGCAATGGCCACGGCGGCGCGCTGCCCTTTGCCCAGGCGCACTAGCTGCAGCAGCACAAAGCTTATGCCGCTGAGCAACAGCAGAATCAGCATCTTCTGGCCCAGTGTCGCGTATAGCACACCAGCGCCGCACAGCGCGTTGATGAGGTGCAGCGGCGCCAGCTTCAGACTGTTCGCCTCTTGCCAGCTGCAGCTGGAGCTGGTGCCGACGCTGGCGCTGGTCACGAGTCGTGCGTGGCGTGCATAGAGCGTGCTAAGCAGCCGGCACAGCAAACAGCCCAGCAGCAGGGGCACGATGTAGCTTGTCACCTGGCTCAGCGAGGGCAGTATGCAGTGCTCGTAGCTTTCCCACAAACGATTCGCCACATTCTCGAAATCGTCGTCATCGTAATCACTGTTGGACTGACTCTTCGTGGAGTCTTGGTCAACGTAGACAACGTCGCTGCCGACGCCGCCGCCGCCGCTGCCCTCATCCTCCTCATC